TGTATCCACAAAAGTTTCTACCAATGTAATCCAAGACATGAAACATTATCTGGCAAAGCCTGTGGGAAAAAGCACTGGAGAGGGAGACAGATTACTTGGGTTCTAGTCTGGGCTCTGCCACTAAATGAGTGTGTGTCCTTGAACAGATCAGGACTCTCTATGAATTATTCCATTTGCAAAATAAGAGAATTAGATTAATACATTTTTATAAGATTCCCATTGTTCTAACAGTCTGTCCCTAGGTGTTCCATAAAATATACAAGTAGGTAAGTTAGAATTACCCGTTTGATTAAGACTAGCTTTTCAGATTGATGATTATTTCAGTTCATTTTGTATAAGGATACTGGACAAGGCATCACAGGCCTAGGAGGGTCAGAAAGTGTAGGAGCTTAAGTCTATCTGTTAATGAGTTACTGTAGGGGAGGCAGACAAAGGGTAACGTATCTGTTTATTTTGCAATTTATACAGGTCAAGGGGACAGTTTCTAAAATATTTGCTAGTTGTTTCCAAACTATGCTCCTTTAGGAAATGCATAATTTTGGTGGTTAATGGTAATACTGATAATGAAACTTAGTTATGGCATTTAGCCATCTGTCATTTACCCTCTTTACATGTGTTGTTTATGTATTTTCTGTTTTTATGTAATTAGCTCCTTTGGTGTATTCCTATATAGAAGGATACTGTCTCTTTCTAGCCTACCTGAGCTTCTGAAATAATTAGATTGGGGAAAAAAACACTGAATTGAAATCTGTCTGATTTGTAAACAATGATGTTGCTCACTTTATGCTAGAATATGACAAACCAGACATTATTTTCTGTACAACATTGAAAATTATTTGCTGTTTTTTTTCTTTTCTTGCTCAGTTTTATTTTGATTTTTTTCTTTTATTCTACTTTAAGTTCTGGGATACATGTGCTGAATGCTCAGATTTGTTACATAGGTATACATGTGCCATGGTGGTTTGTTGCACCTATCAACCCCTCATCTAGGTTTTAAGATCCGCATGCCTTATCTGTTTGTCCTAATGCTCTCACTCCCCTTTTCCCCCACCCTGTGACAGTCCCCAGTATATGATGTTCACCTCCTTGTGTCCATGTGCTCTTATTGTTCAACTTCCCCTTATGAGGGAGACCGTGCGGTGTTTGATTTCCTATTTCTGTGTTAGTTTGCTGAGGATGATGGTTTCTAGCTTCATCCATGTCCCTGCAAAAGACATGAGCTCATTTTTTTTTATGGCTGCGTAGTATTCAATGTGTATATAAACTGATTGTTCATGTAGTACACTCCCTATAGCACATGGTCTAATTAAATGATCTCTTTACCACCTGCTTACAAGGCAAAAAATTAAAAAGAATAGTAACTCTGATGCTGATCATATTGACAATGAAATAATAAACACAAACCACAGGTTTATAAGGTGAACAATTGTGCCAAAATCTTTTTTTCAGATATCTATTTTCAATTTCATTTTATTTATTTATTTATTTGTTTGTTTGAGACAGTCTCACTCTATCACCCAGGCTGGAGTGAACTGGCGCGATCTTGGCTCACTGCAACCTCTGTCTGCCTCCCTGGTTCAAGTGATTCTCCTACCTCAGCCTCCCGAGTAGCTGGGATTACAGGCACATGCCATCATGCCTGGATAACTTTTGTATTTTTGATAGAGATGGGGTTTTGCCACATTGGCCAGTCTGGTCTTGAACTCCTGGCTTCAAGTGATCCACCTGCCTAAGCCTCCCAAAGTGCTGGGATTACAGGCCTGGGTCACCGCCCCACCCTATTTTCATTTTTAGTGTTTTACTATTTTTCCTATTGCTTAGCAATGTTAACTGATAAATCTCCTGAAGGCCAAGGACAATGTATCACAACATTTAAAGATAAGAATCACATAAATGTCTAATGTGAAAATATTCCCAATTGTAGAATCAAGGAAGACTGAAGATAAAAAAGAATACATACAGAGGAGAGAAAAACATCAATGCAATAGCAGTGTATAATATGTAAGAGATCCAGTGGTTAGTTTTTGTTTGATAATTATGTTCTTGCAAATTTATGTGTAGTTTTAAAATATGTTGGATTCAGACATTGAGGCTCCTCGAAAGATTATAGGTAGATGATACATTAAATCAGTCTACAGGTTTACACAGTTACAGGGTAGAAATTATTGTCTACTGAATTTTACTTTGTTGAATGTCTATTTCAAGTCCATTTGTCAAAATAAATTATGGGAGCAAATGTCTTCAATCTGAACAGAATGATTTTTATTCTTAAATTGATGATTGAATTTCAGGAGCTAAAAATCTATATTGCTTTCTAATTTTCTCATTGGTTTATTTGCAAGTCAAGTGTGATAGTAGGAAGTTAACTATAGTTTTAACACTGAATTAGAACTGTCATGCATGAATTGCTTAATACCTTTCCTGGATTTTAGTAGACTGACCTGTATTTCATTTTCATGTCCTACTTTTTAATTCAATTGAGTCACATAATGGGCTGTAATTGAGTCACAAAGCAGGAAATAAGCTTGTGCCAAGTATATGGGACAAACTTGGCATATGTGGTGTCTTTACTCTTGTTAGTGGAAAGTCAATTCTGGTAAATCAATCAGTCAGTTTATCATTAGTATTTCCCTCACCTGGTAAGACAGGACGCAGTGCAGTTTCACATCCCTTACCTGCAATTATGAAATCCAAAAAGCTATGAAAAGAGGAAGTGTTTTCAAAATTCAAAACCTGACCTGACTTGACCTGAACTTGTTTAGCACTGAAACTGTACTGAACTGATATGCACCTTTTGTAGTCTTTTTTTTTTTTTTTGAAATGGAGTTTCACTCTTGTTACCCAGGCTAGAGTGCAATAGTGCGATCTCGGCTCACCGCAACCTCCGCCTCCCAGGTTCCAGTGATTCTCCCGCCACAGTCTTCCGAGTAGCTGGGATTACAGGCACCCGCCATCATGCCCAGCTAATTTTTGTATTTTAGTAGAGATGGGGTTTCACCATGTTGGCCAGGCTGGTCTTGAACTCCTGACCTCAGGTGATCTGCCTGCCTTGGGCTCCCAAAGTGTTGGGATCACAGGTGTGCGTCACCGTGCCCAGCCTATAGTCTTTATTTATCTCACCTAGTGTGAATATGCACATGCTTTACTATAGAAATATATATTTTTTAATTTATTTATTATTATTATACTTTAAGTTGTAGGGTACATGTGCATAACGTGCAGGTTTGTTACATATGTATACTTGTGCCATGTTGGTGCGCTGCACCCATCAACTCATCATTTACATCAGGTATAACTCCCAATGCAATCCCTCCCCCCTCCCCCCTAGAAATATTAATATGGTTAAGAGGGTGCTGCCCAGATCCTGCTGAAAGTATAATATATGGCATATGTATCCTGCTTTTTTTCTAAAATCTGAAAGATACTGACTTCCAAAACAGTCTTCAAGAGTACCTTTTCTTTGAATATAAATCTCCTAATGTGCATTTTTCAATACTGAGTCATTTTCTATCTTTCCGGCAACTTCCTAGGTGCATTTATGATTATTGCATTGTTATTGCAAGTGTTACAGGCAAAATCCTGCTTTTGTCCTCTCTGTTGTTAGTACACTATGAAGGCTGAATGGCTTGCTGGAAACAACCTTAGCTGTAAAGAGACCCAGAGTTAAATCCCGGTTGGACTGGTCGTAAGCTGTGTGACCTTGGACAACCTATTTAACATCTCTGAGCATTACATTTCTTTTTCTGTAAAATACTGACTGATACCTACATTGTCCCCACCCTCTTTTTCAGTTTCAACCTCAGAAAAGGAATTCTGGTTAGGTGGACTATGGTTGTTATCCTTTACCTCATTGCTAGTCCTTTCTTTGCCCTGGGGATGTCCAAAATGCTGATTTTTTAGTTAACTAATTATAAAACTTATTCTTACCTTTCCTGTCAGGACCTCAAGATACCTGAGCTGTTAGTTTAGGTACAAGTAACAAGAAAAGTAAATACAAACAAGAGAATTGATGTTATGCTTATCAGGGAAAGCAAAATAGCAATCTAAGATGTGCTCTGGCAGCAATAAAGTTATGGAAAAGATGACAAAATATTTTCCAGAGTAAAGGGATACTCTAGAAACCTCCTGAGATTTTTTTTTTTTTTTTCTTTTTGAGACGGAGTCTCGCTCTGTTGCTCAGGCTGGAGTGCAATATGGTACGATCTTGGCTCACTGCAACCTTCGCCTCCCGGGTTCAAGCAATTCTCCTGCCTCAGCTTCCCAAGTAGCTGGGATTACAGGCACCTGCCACCACACTCGGATAATTTTTGTATTTTTAGTAGAGATGGGGTTTCACTATGCTGGCCAGGCTGGTCTCGAACTCCTGACCTCAGGCTATCCACCTGCCTCGGCCTCTCAAAGTGTTGGGATTACAAACGTGAGCTACCATGCTTGGCTGTACTGAGATTTTATAAGTGTCAATGGATTCTTTTAAAAACTATTGGGTTGCACTAGTAGATAACTTTTTTTGACATGATTTTGGACATAATCTGTGTTTGGAGGTAGAGGAAGGCTGCTCCTTAATTTTTAATTCTCCATCAAGGTCTGTGATACATATTGTGGAATTATAGATCATTCTTGACAATTTCTGATATAAAAGTCATATATATATGTGTGTGTATGTGATTGTTTGTGTGCGTGTGTGTGTGTGTGTTGGTAGATAGTGATGGTCCTTGTTTTGAGTTTTTAGAGTGTATTTCCCTTTACAAAATTGTTTCTTTTGATCATAGTGCTATTGTTGTTAATTGAGGTTATCATCAGGAGATCTTTCGCCATTTAAATGGTTTCACTTTACAGGACATCATGTGTGCATACCTTTGTTTTCCATTTTAAATTTCTTTTTAAAATTCAGAGTCCTTCAGACTAAGAACATTAGGCAACACTTGGTGTAAGAAAATATGTGATTACTATGGGGATTAGGAGCTATTCCAGGTCTGTTTGACCTCTTTTCTTTATTGCAGGTGATTTGTTCTAATACATCAAAAATTGCTTCTCAGGAGAGACTCTATTCTTTGGTAGGTACCTTTAAAGTTCTTTAATGCCACTGGTCTGAAAGGTAAGACTTTCCAGATGTATTTTATTTTTCTGAATATTTAGATCATAATATAATCTTTGTTTAATAATAATATAATAGTAATAATAAGCATAATGTATTGCACACTTACTATGTAGCTAGCACATGATCTCGTTTAATTCTTAAAACCTTTCTTTGTGGTAGCATTATTAATTAGAATTAGGTTTGACAGAGAGAGAAATAAATATCCCAAAACAACGGCTTCAGTCAATGGTTTATTTCTCTTTCCTGTTCAAGAAATTCAGGAGTCAGTTCCGGGTTGATATGATATGGTGGCAGAGACTCAATCTCTTTCTGTCTAATACCTCTGGCACGTATAGCTTCCAGTTCCAAGGTTACCTCATCCACAGAGGAGACTGTTGGAGTTTCTTTCACCATGTCCATATTCTAGCTATAGGAAGAAGGAAGGGGAAGTCCTACCCATTTCTTTAAGGACACTTCCCAGAAGTAGCACATGCCATTGCCACATATATACCAAAACTCAGATGGCCACACCTAGTTGTAAAGGAGACTTTTTTCCCACTCACCTGTGTGTCCTGCTAATAATTAAGATTCTGTAGCTTTGGAAGAAGAGAATGAGTATTAAGAGACAGCCAGCAGTATGCCAAGTTTGAGTGCTCTCATGCCCAACTTACAAATGGAAAAATTGAATCATAAGAAGTAAATGGACTTACTAAGAGCTCACAGCTGGTAGAGTCAAGATTCAAAGCTAGGTCATTCAAACATCAGAGTTCTCAAGCACTACTTTGAAGTGCTTCTACCATAAAACAGTTGTTTGACTTTATTCATCTCTTCTGCTAAATTAGTCTAAAGAAAACATTTCTGGACTAAGTTGCTAGGTCAATCTATTGAAACAATGAAATCCTTTATTTTACCAAGCATTCTTGGCAAAGGGCACAGTACTGGTATAAACTTGTGCAATGAAGCCTTTACTTTTGCTGACCTTTTGGATAGGTGGATTCACAGAATTTAGTGACAGGTTTAGAAAATTGCCTGGTGTACAGATTAAAGTCTTATTTTCAATCTTCTACTTGTTTAGGGTTGCAACAGGTTTTAACTTCATTAAAATATGCTTTGCTGTTTTATTGATGGTGTAGATTTTCAACAAGGTAATAAAAGGACAAAGTTTTCAATAGAGCCAATAAGAATAAATAAAAAGGAATGATTTACTGTAGGAAAAATCACAGTATATCATGATTATTTTTCTACTAAAAATTTTCAAGGTAAATGATAGCACATCTTGGAACAAATCACACTATATTACTTCTAAGTTATTTGGAAAGTATTACATTTAGATGATTAACCTGTGATTCTTCAATATCTTACTTGTGTAGAAATCTAAATCATACAACACAAACTAGGCCTCCCTTCCTTTCCCTTTCCTTCCTTCCTTATATTTCACAAAGCTTAATTTGTAATTCTTTTCCTTAGGTTCATTTTTGTTTAGATTGTTCTCTCTTCCTAGCTCACAAGGGTTTTTAATCATTCTCATGCCTGACCAGCTCTTTGCTTTCTAGCACCAAGGGAGAAAATGAGAATATGAATGAATAAATCAATAAAAAAGTAAATACCATGCTTTATACATGTCAACTCAAGATTGCTATGTTGCTTACAATTTTCAACATTTTAAATAACTTCTGTAAATTTATCAATACTTTTTGGAGGCTGGGCGGGGTGGCTCACACCTGTAATCTCCACACTTTGGGAGGCTGAGGCGGGCGGATCACCTGAGGTCAGATTGAGACCAACATGGTGAAACTCTCTCTCTACTAAAAATACAAAATTAGTCGGACATGGTGGCAGGTGCCTGTAATCCCAGCTACGTGGGAAGCTGAGGCAGGAGAATTGCTTGAGCCTGGGAGGCGGAGGTTGCAGTGAGCTGAGATCTCGCCATTGCACACTAGCCTGGGGGACAGAGCGAAACTGTCTCAAAAAAAAAAAAAACTTTTTATAAAGGTGATTAAGATAAATGATATATATATCAGTTGCTCAAGCCAGGCATGGTGATGCTTGCCTCTAGTCCCAGCTACTTGGGAGACTGAGGCAGGAGGATGGTTTGAGGCCAGGAGTTCAAGGTTGCAGTAAGCTATGATCATGCTACTGTACTCCAGCCTTGGTGACAGAGTAATACCCTGTCTCAAAAAACAAACAAGCAAGGCTGGGCACAGTGGCTCATGCCGGTAATCCTAGCACTCTGGGAGGTCAAGGCAGGAGGAATCCTTTCATCCAGGAGTTTGAGACCAGCCTGGGGAACATGTTGAGACCCTGTCACTACTTAAAATTAAAAAAAAAATTAACTTGGTGTGGTGACTCGTGCCTGGGGTCCCAACTACTAAGAAGGCTGAAGTGGGAGGATCACTAGAGGCCAGGAGATTGAGGCTGCAGTGAGCTGTGATTGCACCACTGTACTCTAGGCGACTGAGTAAGACCCTGCCTCCAAACAAACAAACAGAAGGCAGTTGTTCAACAGAAGTTCTTCACTTAACAAACCACAACAACACTGGGGACATAGAGTGGTTAATGACAAGGTTTAATGATTTGAGAGTTTGCTTAGATGTCAATAGACATTTTCATTGCTGCGACAACTTACAGAAAAGTCACTTTCAAGTGAAAAAATATATGATAAAACATCAAAGGGGGGCAGGTGCGGTGACTCACGACTGTAATTCCAGCACTTTGGGAGGCCGAGGTGGGCTGATCACTTCAGGCTGGGAGTTCGAGACCAGCCTGACCAACATGGTGAAACCCCATCTCTACTAAAAATACAAAAACTAACTGGGCATGGTGGTGCATGCCTGTAATCCCAGCTACTCAGGGATCTGAGGCAGGAGGATCTCTTGAACCCAGGAGGCAGAGGTTGCAGTGAGCTGAGATTGTGCCACTGCACTCCAGCCTGGGTGACCAAGTGAGACTGTGTCTCAAAAAAAAAAAAAAAAAAGAAAAAGAAAAGTCAAAGGGAAAGGGAACAGTGATCACAGAACAGATCAAAGGTCAGAGCACAGCAGAGATTTCTACTTATTTGTAGTGTGCCTTTGGTTCTTTTGGTTCTTTGCAAACATTGAGCAAGAACAGGACCAGAGACCAAATGATGTGGGGAGAAGAACACAGATGATTAGTCTTTAACAGATTTTTCACTAATTATTTTATTCACTAATTATTTTATATTATTCATTTGTATTTATACAAGTAATATCTTAATACATATTCCTTATGAAAAATTCTAAAGCCCCATTGGAATAAAGGCAAAATGTCCATTTTTCAGTGGTCTTTTTTTTGAGACAAAGTCTCGCTCTGTCGCCCAGGCTGGAGTGCAATGGTGGGATCTCGGCTCACTGAAACCTCCACTTCCTGGGTTTGAGCAATTCTCCTGCATCACCCTCCCGGAGCAGCTGGGATTACAGGCACCTGCCACCACACCCAACTAATTTTTGTATTTTTAGTAGAGATGGGGTTTCACTATGTTGGTCAGGCTGGTCTCCAATTCCTGGCCTCAGGTGATCCACCTGCCTCGGCCTCCCAAAGTGCTGGGATTACAGGTGTGAACCACCACACTCAGCAAATTGCTTTTCTAGTTGAATGTGCAAAAGCAACATTAAGAACCACTACAACTGCCTCATACATAATTTTAAAACTAGAGTATGAAAAGTACTCCTAATTTATTATTACCTTCCCATGAAGTGGCCAGAGAATTCCAGAAAGAGGGGACAATGGAAAACATTGTAATTGGGTAACCATTATCCATATCTCCCCTTATTGAAAAAAAAAATCCCCATTTTATCTGGGGCAGCAGTGTGTGCAGCTCCATAACACTTTGTTGGATAATTACTTTCCCAGATTCCTTTGCTTTTGAGGAGACCAGTGTGGCACACAATCCTGCCAATGAGACTTCATGGTAATCTGCATAGGAGGCTTCTGGGGGTTTTAAAATCTTTGCAAAAGGGATGAGAATAGGAAAAAAATGTCCTTTTCCATTTCTTTCTGGTTTGAAAGTAGATGAGGTATTTAGAGCTATGGCAGCTATGGAACAATGAGGTGAAAAGAATAAAGACAAAAGTCAGCATGCTAAGGACACAGAGGAGAAAGAACTTGAACCCTTGGTTATATTTCAGAGGAGCTGGACTAGGGATTGCCTCCCTCTAAATTTCTCTAGGTAAACACCAAATGTCCCTATGGTTTGGCTACTTTTAATTTCCTATTCTGTCAGTTGCTGCTGAAAGCGTTCCCAATACAAATACATATCTGTCTTGTTCTCTGTTTTAGTACTGAGAACTGTGCCCAACGTGTAGTAAGTGGTCAAAGAATGTTTGCTGAAAGAATAGAGTGAGTGGATTTTAGATCAGATTCTAAGCATCATACCGGAACTTGTGGGTAGTAAAGTTGTTCTATTTATTTTACATTGAATTTTTAGTTTGAATATAATTTCCTTGGAACTATTTACCTTACACTGCTTTTTTCACACTAACAAAATCTCAGATTTGTTTATCCTTCCACATGTTATCTGAGGGAAGATAGACCCCTTTGCAGTCTCAGAAAAGCCTATCTTAATTGGTCTAGGCTAATCATGGTAGTCTCATACCCTTTGCACAACAAATGACTTATGCCTGGGTATGAGAGGCAACTGTGGCCAATGGGGCTAATTCTGTGGGGACTTAGGAAAAATATTCCCTATCAAATAGAAAGTGCTACATGGAAGATAATGATTCTAGGTCTTCACGTGGTGTCAAGATATGCAGCAGCCACTTTGCAGCAATGAAGGATAAGGCTTGAGGACTAAGCCACCATGCAAAGAATGAGAGCATGAGGCTGGCGCCATGGCTCATGCCTGTAATCCCAGCACTTTGGGAGGCCAAGGCAGATGGATCACTTAAGGTCAGGAGTTCCCGACCAGCCTGGTCAACATGGCGAAACCCTATAAAAATACAAAAATTAGCTGGGAGCTGTGGCGCATGCCTGTAATCCCAGTTACTCAG